ACCATAATAGCACGAAATGACCATTTTCTGGAGGCTCTACAAGCATAACTGCTCAGTATTTTTAACTAATTCTTTGATAGGCTCATTCAGGTTGACCAGAGGTATGTTCTGGCTACCTCTCCAGTTAGCGCATATTTTTTTTTTCAGATGCCAAAAATGGCCTCCAGAATAAAAACCTTCTCAAGGCTCCAGCTTTCACTGAAATTAGTCCATACCAAGGGAAGTGTAACACACCTACATAATGTAAAAGAATACACAAATACATTTGAGGTACAATAGATTCTTAGAAAGAACCAGAAAAATGAACCAACCTTCATTCTTTTTGCACTCAACTGTATTTTTAGCTTTCCATGTTTTCTGAATGTTTCTGCTTTAATATGAATATTTAGCTCAGATGTTGAAAATTCTTAGAAATGGTATATCCTGGATCAGTATTGATGACTGATATGTTTTTTTGTATGTTTTGTTTGTCCGAAGAGCATCCAGATATGTTTTTCTTGGGATCCAGAATGTTTGTGATTTATCACAAATCTAAATATATCTCAGATATGTTTTATGATTAGAAATGGTACATTCTGGATCAGCATTGATGACAGGTATGTTTTCCTGTATTCTGTGTATGGTTCTTTTGCCAAAAGAGCATCCAGATATGTTTTTTCCATGTCAAAATCCTTCTGAAAAAGCTGCATTTCACCAGAATATTCCATTTGTGATAATTCTCATTTTTCTTCATCAAATCTTATGTTACAGCTACTTAGAGCTGCCAGGTGATGTAGAAATATATTTTCGATTTTTTCAAAAAAATTCCACCTCAATCAGAGGTGTGGAGATGATGGATGCACAAGTCATGTTCCAGATGACCTTTTCTTCTTCGGGGCTTTGGGGTAACAAACAATTGTCAACAAAGGCTGTTTTCAAGCGGAAAATCACAAAAGTACCCTTTGGAATAGTCTCGACACCAGCCGTTATTGGGATTGTATTACTCACCATAACGTCTGGAAGGGATTGATCGTGATTAGTGTGTAAAGGTTCAGTTCAGTCCGGTTTTTTGCCCCGAAAACGCGCAACCGTGGACCGCAACCGGTCCAGGACCGACCCAGATATTGAGGGAACCGAACCGAACCCCCTAGGACCGGTCTTTTGCAGTCCATGATACTGGTTCAGACCGATCCAGACCGGTTTTTTTGTGTATAATTTATTATACCAATATAAACCATTTGTATCTCAACCATTATTACTCTGAAAAATAAACAGGTTATATAAAATAGTAAAGCATATAAATACCCGTCATTCTACCAATTTTCAAGAGGTTTAATGAAGATTTGACATAGCTAGGACTGAAACCGAATTACATCTCATAGAGACTTGGGTAAAATATGGATTTGGTTATATCTTTCTCAATTCTTGACCGTTTTTGATGAAACAAAAACCCAATAAAAGGCAATAAACGTGGTTACAAAGCTATGTAACGCACGTGACCGTTTAACCGGTTGCAACCGATTAAAACCGGTCTTTGAACGGTTTTAAAAGATTTTCGAAATGAGGCAACCGGCAACCAGACCAACCCCAAATTGGGGCAACTGCAACCGAAAAAAAGACTGGACCATGGACCGGTTCAGCTCGGTCCACCGGTTTTTTGCGGTCCTATGGACTGAACCTTTAAACACTAATTGTGATGCAACTGACAAAATTTCGGACTCCGATTATTGTCTCAATGAGGAAACTCTCCTTAACACATCCTCAATTCAAGTGCTCGCAACGTGTTCATGAGTCCTTTGATACTCAAAACTTACAGCAACAAACTTAGATACAGTTGAGTGCAAAAAGAATGAAGGTTGGTTCATTTTTCTGGTTCTTTCTAAGAATCTATTGTACCTCAAATGTATTTGTGTATTCTTTTACATTATGTAGTTGTGTTACACTTCCCTTGGTATGGACTAATTTCAGTGGCATAAAAAGCCATTTTCATGGCAATTAGATGTGTCCAAAGCGATATTGTGTGGGCAGGATGTTGTCATTGATGTGGGGACTGGAAGTGGGAAAACGTTATGCTTTTCCTTGCCATTGCTGCTTGATGAGGATAGTATTGTCCTCACCATTTCGCCTCTCACTGAACTGATGATAAATCAGGTAAGTGTGAAGAGATCTATAGGTCACCGTATTGGTGCTCACATTTTGCTGTGATCTTCTAAAATATCTAGGCAGACATGGCGGGCATTGCTACAGTTGCCGTATGCAAGGAGACATTATCTCGTGTGGGTTCTGATAAATTATATGCAGTAAGTGTCATATTTTCATTCAAAAACAAAGTGACTTACTTTGGAAAGGATATTGCTGCTGAGAAATTCCGGCAGGTCATCATTTCACCTGAGATCGTGACTTCCGCAGACTTTCGGACCGCCGTTTTGTCGAAGGACCAGTTTTCAAGCGCACTTTGCGCTGTCTGCGTCTATGAAGCACACTGTATAAGTTTGTGGGGCAGGAGCTTTTGTCCAGACTATGCTGGCCTTGGTGTGCTTCGTGGTCGGTTTCCTAAAAATGTTCCATTTGTCGTGGCATCAGCAACGCTTCCCTGTCATGTTCTCAATGACGTACGGCATAAATTGCAGCTTGGAAGTGATACCAAGATGGTGCAATTGACCAATGCACGGCCTAACATGGCATTATCAGTCCGGAAGATGAAGCATTCTGAAGAAACAAAGGGCGACATATGCTTTTTGATTCCACCAACTGCCAAGAAACCCTAGCACATTCCGATAACCCTTGTGTATTGGAATCAGAGAACAACCGCCGAAGATGCAGCGGATTGTGCCAGGGACTGGGCCAGTACTTTACCCTCCCCAGGTTATTCCATATGGAATGGATGGAATGGGAGGTGGACTGCACAAATTCCAGATGGATTCCATGGAGTGGGGGATGGATTCCATGGAATGGGGGATGGATGCCATACTTTCCCCAGATGGATTCCATACTTTTTCCACATGGAATCCATACTCTATTCTATATGTTCTATACCATTTTAAGGGTGGAATCCATATGGACTCCATATGGAATCCACATGGAATGACTTTATGAAATAATTCTAAGTCCACATCAGGTAATCATGGTTTCTATATTCATGAGTCATAGCTGAGCAAGAAAAATTGAAATGTATTAAATAGACTACACAATTTATTTTTACTATTCTCAATATTTAAGGGAGGGGGGGAAGACAGGGAGAAGTGATGGAGGGGGCCTATGTGGGCGAAAAACGAAAGCATGAGTTGGAGTCGTTACTTGAGAAGGGAGAGATAAGCATCTTGTTTTGCACTGACGCCATCAGCATGGTACATTTCCCTTTGATAATTTTGGAAATTGCTTTCTAAATTTCCAGGGATGTGACAAGGTCTTATCAGTGCCCCCCTAATTCCTGCAGGATTCCGGTCATTCCTGCGGATTCCGGTGGATTCCAGAGGAATGAAATTTAGCAGGGAGGCCTGCTATTTTCTTCATTCCAGTGCTTTACCATTCTGGCGGAATTTCGGCATTCCGGAATTGTGACCGGAATGGTCCCCGGATTGGCAAAAACGGAATGCGCAACCGGAATCTGGTTTGTTTGGCAACGGCTTTCACGCTTGTCCAAATACAACCCTCTCTCCTCCCACCACCACCAACATCCCTGCTCCTCGTAAACGCGTGCCTGCTACCCACCCATGCCACGTCACCACGGTCACCTGTGGCTACCACCACCCACAAATGTTGTTGACCACCAACAACAACCACATCAACAACAACGCAGCAACGCCACGTCAGCAAGCAAACAAGCCCTGGCGAGGTTGAGGCAACAAAAACGGACCACGAGGGACGATCACAGCCCAGGCTGTAGTTTTAGACCAAATTGACCTAGAAGGTTCCACCTTATTCATTTCCATAGGGTGTGCAATTGGCCACTTGGCCAAAATGCCATGGGCTGTGGAACATCAGAATATTTGAAAAAAAGCCTTTCAAAAATAAAAACCATTGCATGTATAATAAAATATACCCCCAGAATATGTTTTCTGCTTATAATACTGTTCTACAGCATCTATTTTTAGCCTGATATGTTTGTGATTTATTACAAATCTAAATATAGCTCTCATGTGTTTCATGATTTCAAATTCTCAGAAATGGGATATTCTGGATCACTGATATGTTTTCTGTATGTTTTGTCTACCTAAAGAGCATCCAGATATGAAATCCAGAATGTTTGTAATTTATTACAAATCTAAATATAGCTCAGATATGTTTGATGATTCAAAAATGTCACATCCTGGATCAGCATTGATGACTGGCATGTTTTTCTGTATTCTGTGGATGTTTTGTTTTTGCCTAAAGAGCATCCAAATATGTTTTTTCTAGGGATCCAGAATGTTGGATAGATCTAAATATAGCTCAGATATGTTTTATGATTCAAAATTCTTAGAAATGGTACATCCTGGATCAGCATTGTTGACTGGCATATTTTCTTGTATTCTGTGTATGTTTTTCTTGCCAAAAGAGCATCCACATATGTTTTTCCATGTCATAATTCTTCTAGAAAAGCTGCATTTCACCAGAATATTCCAATTGTAATGATTCTCAGTTTTCTCCATCAAAACTTGTGTTACAACTACTCAAAGCTACCAAGTAATGTAGAAATATATTTCCGATTTTTTCAAAAAATTTCCGTCTCAATCAGAGGTGTGGAGATGATGGATGCACAAGTCATGTTCCGGATGACCTTTTGTTCTTTGATCCTTCTAAGTAACGAACAAATGTCAACAAAAGTAGCTCCTGAGAGGAGATTCATGAAAGTGTCCTTTGAAGGATGTCATTCAAGTTATTGACAGAACTAACTTCATATTTCTTCGGTTGCAACTGGTTTCCATCATATAGTATGTATTTTGTATTTCAAATCAGCAGCTTTTCAGCTGGATGGCTCAGGTTCCAGCTGGATGACGTTCCCAAAGGTGTTGCTAAGCAAGTACAAATAGCTGCCCTCCTCGTGCCAGATCTTCAATAGACATGGTTATTCATCCTTTACATTTGTATCTAATGAAAAATACACATTTTAGTACTCTTAAAGTAGAACAGAATCCAATCTATCATGTTTTACATTTACGGCGACCTCACAAGTGGATGGATGCGACATGGTGAACTTGGATGACACGTTTGAAGCTGTAGACAAATAGATGCAAAGTTCAAAAAAACATCGGAAAAACAACTGAAATTGAGCCAGGAGAGGAAGGGAACACTACACTGACATTGGTAATACATATCATTATGTTTAATTTACAACATTGGGCTTGCTCTCTTATCAGTAGTTGGCTAAAAATTCCAGAGGAAGGAGTATCTTTGTCTTTGAATGTCAAAAACATATCATTCCAGCAACCTGGAGGTTAATACATGCCAGATATAGCCTACCAGAATTCAGTGCATAAGTAAAAGAGTACTAGGACAGGCAGTGTCAAATTATGAGTGAAAGAACACACCTAAAAGTCTTGTTCCAACTTTGTAATTTTTAGGAGGGTTTCAAAACATAGAATTGTGTTGGGAAATCTTGCTCTGCTTGCCTAATTTTGAGGGAATCTGATTTATCTCTTCTTAGCTAAAGGTGGGTGTTCATATAAAATTTCTGAGTACTGTATTCACTTTGATAATGAAGGTTTTGTTGTGAAAGCCATTGAATAGAGTGTGTTTCTTCAGACTTTAACTATACTGTGTCCACTTAAACCATCCAATGGCCATAAAACTCCATAGATATTTTCAGAATGAAAGACTGAATGTGGTCCCAAAGTTTTACAGAAATCAGAAGATTGTGGAGATACAGGTGGATGGGATAGGTGCAGAGGGTCACAATAAAGCAATTGAAAGTGCCGGAATCTCAAGTGTGAGATTGGAATTCTTACGACTTTTACTCCCTGCCCAATGAATACATACTGCTACCTATCTTGAATGTTAATCATAGTCCTCAGAACCTCTAAATACATTTTCCTATATTTTTTTCCTCTCAATAACGAACGCAGGAGGGACTTGTGCAGCTCGCCGTCAGCGCTCGGCGTTTTCTGAGCGCTGTTGATACGTGGTTGAGGATGCCACGTATGTCCGTCTCGGTCAACAACGTCCTCTCGTCTTCGCGCCCTACACACGTTTG